TATATATATTTTTTTTTAATAAACAAAGTGCAGTAATATTATCACTATTTTTTTATAGTTATGTTTAATGGGTCACACTATGTGCAGTATGAGGACCAAACCAAATCTCTATGCTGAAAATCTTATGTGCACCCCTGCTTATAGTGGCCATATAACTCATATGTTGTTCTGAATATATTACTCTAGACAAAAGAGTAATATATATTGCTTTGGTCATTGCACATAGTGAAACTGATAGCCAGGAAATGACCTCAGAATGTTTGTTTTGCTATTATACTGTGTCTCACCAGATCTTTCCTATTTAGACCCTCTATTCAGAATTCACTGATGCTGAATTGCTTGTTATTTGCTCTCCAAGTATTTATATCATTCTCTAGAATGAAAGGTAAAAAGTGAACAGTTTAGTGTTTAAGATTGTATTAATGTTTTTGAAATGCATCTATTATGCTCACCAGGTCTGCAATTATTTTAATCAAAACATAGTACAACAGTAATATACAATTCACAATAACTGTTTTCTATTTTAATATATTTTCAAATGAAATGTATCCCTGTGATGGCAAAGCCATATTTTATAGTGTTGCTTAATATACGTGTCATGCATATTTTTAGGATTCTTTGAATTTAAACTTAATTAAAATATGTTTGTAACAATATAACTGTCACTTTTGATCAATTTAATGCATCCTTGCTGAATAAAAAATAATCTTACTGACTACACAGATGCCTTCCTAAGATCTTACACCACTCAACTGACATTGCTAAATTAGTGTTACTAATAGGTAAGAATGTGTCTACGATAATGTGTTGTTGTTTTTTCCACCCACTCATATGTTAATTAACATTAAATGCTCTTGTAAGTCTGCAAACAGTGCAAGCTGACTGTATTGGATCTCTTTTTGATTCTACAGGGAGATGTCTACACACGTACCAAATCAAGTTGTATGATTAATTCATGTAGAATGTAATACAAGTATCCGCAAAGGCAGCACTTCAGCTGTAATCACATATGACCTGAATAGGTTTGTTTAAGAATATTGGGAAATAAGGCTTTGAATATTAATGGAGTGGCAAGGTTCAAATTGCATTGCAATGTTATGATATCCCAAACCAATTTGCATGTTTTGTGAGATGATTCCTCATGGTCATGTGAGCTGTCTTCGCAACATCCACATTTTAGAATTGACTTATTTTATTTTATTTTAAATTTATTAAATTAAATTTTTTGGTCTTTTTTTGAATTGTCTGCAATTTTTGATTGAATGGCTACAGTAGTTCACCTGAAAATGAAAATGACAGGATCAGGATGTAAATATTTGTTGGTGTCTCTGCAGGAGGCTGGAGGGGAGAACGCAGGTCCTCATGCATCTCCTGAGGAAAGGAAGGAGAAGGTCCCCAGACCTCATCTGAGTCAGCTGGTGATCCTGACATCTAGTGATACGCTCTATGGCTTGGCTGAGAGAGTCGTCGCCACTGAATCACTGTAAGCTACTTTAAACCTCCTTACTTAAAGAAATAATTCAACTAAAAATGATAGTGTTTTTTTTGTTTTGTTTTTTACCCACCCTTGTTTTGGTTACAGACATGTACAAACCCGATTCCAAAAAAGTTGGGACACTGTACAAATTGTGAATAAAAACAGAATGCAATGATGTGGAAGTTTCAAATTTCAATATTTTATTCAGAATACAACATAGATGACATATCAAATGTTTAAACTGAGAAAATGTATAATTTTAAGGGAAAAATAAGTTGATTTTAAATTTCATGGCATCAACACATCTCAAAAAAGTTGGGACAAGGCCATGTTTACCACTGTGTGGCATCCCCTCTTCTTTTTATAACAGTCTGCAAACGTCTGGGGACTGAGGAGACAAGTTGCTCAAGTTTAGGAATAGGAATGTTGTCCCATTCTTGTCTAATACAGGCTTCTAGTTGCTCAACTGTCTTAGGTCTTCTTTGTCACATCCATATACACAACATTTATTTACTTTAAATAAATTAAATGTTATTTTATTCATAAAGAAGTATCTTATATTCACCAAGGCTACACTTTATTTGATCAAGGATACAGTATAAACGGTACTAATGTAAAATATAATTTAAATTTTATTTTACGTTTATTTAAAATAGCTGTTTTCTATTTTCACATATATTTTTAAATGTAGGTTACTCCTGTAACGGCAGTGCTGAATTTTCAGCAGCCATTACTCTGGTCTTTAGTGTCACATGATCCCTCAGAGATCATTCTGATGTGCTAATTTGGTTAATTTATTAATTTTGAAAACAGTTGCGCTGCTTAAAGGGATCCCTGGGTATTAAGACTTGTATGGCTTAACATAACGTAAATGATGTCTCTTCCTGAAATATGTAGTAGGAGACCCATTAAAGATTTGTTATTTTAAAAATCACATCGTTTTATACATATTTTGGACTATGGGGGGGGCGCCATTATTCTGATGACGTAAAATGGTTGCACTCGGTGAGCTACTGCCGCTACCTGTTGCTAATTTTCCCACAACCCAACTCGGAATAGACAACTTGGAAAATAAAATACTTTTATGATGACCACAGCTACTGAAAGAGCTTACAGGTGGAGATGGATAAGCATAGGCTTAAACCAAATGCTATACCATCAATTTTTTCCCCACATGGAGTCTAAACGCCCCGGATCTCGAGAAAAATCTGCGCTGAGAAACTCCTCTAGACTCCTCGGCATGTTTACTGGATGACATAGCATTTCTCAGCCGTTTGTAAGCTCTTTCAGTAGCTGTGGTCTACTAAAAGACTCAAAGGCATCAGGATTAAAGTGGAGTGAAAAAAGAAGTGGGTCTTTAGGAAGTTTTATTCGTCCAAAGGCATCTTCCCATTCTTTTCTCCTCTTCTTGTGAAGTCTTGCATTGCTTCTCTTGTTGCCCTTCGACTGAAAATTACAATCAAGAGTCACACAACGTGATATCGTATCAGTATTTTATTTTCTGAGTTGTGTATTCTGAGTTGTGTTGCGGTAAAAAGCCAAAGACTATAGAAATAAGCGCCAGTAGCTCACCGAGTGCAACCATTTAACGTCATCGACGCAGAATGTACTATGCACATAAAATAATGGCGCCCCCCCATAGTCCAAAAACCATGTTGATTTTTTAAAATAACATACATCTTTCATGGGGTTTCTACTATATATTTAAATAAGAGACATAATTTGTTATATTAAGCTATACATGTCTTAATACCCGGGGATCCCTTTAATATTTTTGTGGAAACTTTGATTCTTTAATGAATAGAAAGTTCAAAAGAAGAGCATTTATTTGAAATCAAAATCTTTTGCAACATAAATTTCTTTACTATCATTTTTGCGAAATTTAATGCATGCTTGCTAAATGAAAGTATCATTTTATTTAAAAAAAAGGTACTGAATTTGAATAGTAGTGTACAGATGCATAATGGATCAATAGAATTTTCGTTTTGGGTGAACTATTTCTTTAACTAGTGTCATCATGAAATCAGTGTTTTAAAAGTCCCATATTGTCAAAATTGAAATTTCCTGGCTTTTTTCATGATAACTGAGGTCTAGGTGCTATGTAACTACCATATAAGTTTCAAAACAGTCAATCCACTGTCAAACGCACACAGCCTGCATAAAGTAGCTGTGATTTTTCACGAACCGTTGTGACTTCTGTAAAAAGGTGACGTCAGAACTACTCAATCACCGCCTTCAGTCACCACCCCGAGCACTGCCCACCGTCCCACTCTCCTTTTGCCAAATCCCCAGACAACATCGCACCCATGCCATTGCTGAGCAACAACAACACGAAAACATGTAGAGAAAACGCTGTTCAGACTGAATGTCAGGAAACTACATCATTGCACTTCAGGGCTGTGATGGTCGCCGTGACAACCTAGTCAACTGATGTCTATTGCCACCGGTGGTAGTGCACGTGACGTCACACACTCTATAACAAGCAATAATACAAAGTTTTGTATACAAGTTTGATAATGGTAACAGTTGCAAATTGTTTTACTTAGACTATAAGTCTATGCTAATTCATAAATTACCTCAAACGTCATACATGGCGTTTGATCCTTTAGATTGACAGGTTTGAGCACAGGAAAATACAGTACAGAATACAGAAACCAAATACTACATCGCCAATCTGGAATCATTTCCATTCATGTCATCGATCTGCATTTGTACAAGCGTCTTCAAGTTCATGTGATTGCAAACGCTCGGCTGGTAAGGTTTGTATTTACTGCATTTGGTGTTTGAAAAAAAAAATTACCATTCTGAAATATCCTGTTGTAAGCGCGTTTGAGGAGGTGATTGTTTGTGTCCTGTCGTCGCCCATTCGGGGTCTGAGTTCGGCTCAAACATGTAAGGCCGGACAACATTTCCCTCTGCAGTGACCATCATTACAGGTGTTTCTATTGACCTTACTTGTGAGTATCACCAATCCCCAGCAGGCTACAGCATACATGACCCTAGTTACAGTACCTGTGGTTGGCCTGTCCTTGTGTCACTCAGAAAACAACAGGCCAATCAGAAGAGGGGCTCATGAATATTAATTAGACAGGCCAAAATTGACCTGTATTTTGCAGAGCTCCTGAGAGAGGAGCTGTAAAAATATATTGAGGTTTTTGGTACTTATACTGCAAATATATATTCTTAAGGACATCAAGACTTAAAATAAAACTCCAGAAAGATGTAAAATATGTGACCTTTAAGAAATTTCTGCATTTAAAAAGAGAAGGCAGCCAGATGATATCTGCATCATACAGTATATCCAGCTGTGTAACGTCTTTGTAGCAAAAGTGGAATGAGACTTGCAAATGATCACATTTAAATTAAAAAGCTGGTTGACTCTTGTCTTGTGATCAAGCTTACTGTTGCTAGGTGATAAATGTCTAACCCCAGCAGCCACTTTCAACCAAGCCTGTCTAACCCAATCAGTCATATCACTGTGGTTGTTATCTAATCAGCGAACCCCATTAAGCCTGGCTTTTCTCCTGATGAGTCTACAGAGGTGGGCTGAAGCAGCTTCGGCAACAGCCAGGGGAGTTCATTTCATTAAGTGATGTGATGCCGCAGGGGCTGATGAGAGCTACCTGAATTTCCATCATAATCCTGAAGAGGAAGTCGTCAGGCCTCCAAACCATGTCTTACCTTCCAGTCCTCCTATTCTGACCTTTATTCCGTTTGACTGATTGTTCAGCAAGATGTTAAGCCTTCGTGCAACAGCAGGGAATCCTCCTTTCCAAATTCACAGAGAGAGTTTGATCCTCCCTATAGTTGCTTTGCATGCACCCAGATGGTGTTCGATTCGTGCCAAGCTTTGTGCTGGAGAACGTTTTCAAAGTCTTAGATTGAAGACGGATCAGAAGATCCAGAGTTTAAGCCTGGAAAAGGTTCTTCTCAGGGAAGAATGACTCTCTGCTTTAACGTGATGCACAGAAACTCCACCATATTGAGTCATCAAAGCGGTGAAGGTCTGTACTCTCCTTGCGGAGCAACCTTTGGGTTTTTTTGGGGGTTTTTTTTTTGGAGAAGGTTAGTGGCAGTGCAACCTCTTCTCTGCCCCCCATCATCTCCCTGCACTTCCTTTCTTAATGGAATAATCAATGAAGGCTGCAAAGTCTGAGCAGAGAGCAAGCATGAGGGTGTGAACGATAAGCGACAAAACAGGGTCTCTTGTTACTTTCTGAGTGCTGTATTTATACAAGCGTAACCATACAAACCAAATAAAATAAACAAACGATTATACCCTGTTCCATTGGCACCACATCGATGGCAATACAACAGACCTGTTTTTCTCTTTCAAGATCAAGTATTCTGAATATTAATATATCAAACAATCGGACAAAAACAAGTGACCTCTTACTCAAAAAAAAAAAATGTTTTGGTTCTTTGCCCTTTTACCTTCCACATAAATGTTACATATTTAGATGTAATTTGCTTCTGCCCTGATCATGATTCACTCGATTCACTGATTACCTTCAAATTTATTTTGCCTGTTTTAATTATCAACATAAGAAAAGTTTTTTTTTTTTTTTTTGATAATGATTGTTTGGGGGTTTTTTAAAAACACAATGCCTTGTGAGTCTACTGTTGCTATAGTGACGAAAGCAACTTTGACGTGCATCTGATCGACAGATAAACCATGCTGTCTTATACTGTATGTTGTGGATATTTCTGCAAATTTTGCTTTGCTTAGTAATAACTTCTACAATAAATAAATGTAGGCTTTTCAATCACTTTTGGTTTAGTTTTTTCCAGAGACAGTACATTAAACATTTTGTTTGTGTAATTAACCTGTTTAAATGGTCAAAGCATTCAGCACAGCAAACACAGGCAGAACGCCTTCAGAAGGATGCAGAGATCTATTGTAAAATCTTTTAGAGCTGCTTGGATTCAACTCACTTTATTTTCCTTTTATTTGAAATAAAATTATATCGAATTTGTCTGTGATTTTTATTAGTCTTGTAGGATATGCTCAATTCAGCAGTTAGAGAATTATGCTAATGAATGATAATTTCCCATCTCATTATTACAGGGTCTATAAAAAGTATTGACCCCATGGACTTTTTCATTTTTGTTGTTTTAAAGCACTGAATCACAGTGAACTTAATTTGACTTTGGCACCAGAAAAAGGCTCTATTATGTCAAAATTAACAGATTTTGCATCTGTTCAATTGTGCATATGCAATATTTTATTTATAATTTTTTTCAATTGTTTTAGATTTGAATAGTTTTTTGTTTTCTTGCTGCTGAAATAAAACACTCATTCAACATTAAAAAAATTTTTTTGCAATATTATTATGCATCTGTGTTTAATGTTGCAGAAATGGTCAAAGATACATTTCAAAGGGGTTTTAATTAAGTGTAAATTTATCAATTCTGAATTGAAGGCAGATTACCTTGTTTAATAACTGTAGTACATTTGAACCAGTTTGAAGAAAGTTTTCATTTTGACATGAAAAAATATTTTACTGCTTATCAGTCAAAAAAAGAGGGTGAATACTTTTTATAGTTGCTGCTGCTCTTAATATAGAAGCCCTTATTTCTCATGTCAGAAAATAAAATGAAAGCAGATAAATGTAAGACTGACAAATGTAAGCCTCAAACTTCCTAATCACATCACACCTTTTTTTTTTCACCAACGTAACTAGTTTTCAGCACAGCCAGTTCCCTGTGGGTAACCGATATGTAGCGATTGTGTGCCTTATTTGTGCCTTTTTTCCCCCTGCAGAGTTTTTCTGGCAGAGCAGTTTGAGTTTCTTCAGCCTCATCTCGACACCACGATGCCTTCAGCCAAGAAGCCCTTCCTTCAGCAGTTCTACTCACAGGTCAGTTTCATCCCACTATTTACAGCCCTGACCTTTACAGTTTGTCCTTTAAAGATCATTTTCGATCTCCCACCAGTCTGCTACAGGGTGTCCAGTGTCTTTAAAATGTGGAATCTTTTTTGCTATAGGACCCTAAATGTATTATTGATGTGGAGTGTTGACATAAATCACCAAATAATGGACTATAACAATATTAGGTGAAATGAGGTGTAATTACTACAATGCCTTGTAGAAGGTTATTTAATTTGTCTGTGAAATGTCTTTACCAGTATTGAGGTTTTTTTTTTTTTTTTTTTTTTTTTTTTTTTTTTTTTATGTTTTT